GAGGGCAACAAATGTATAGATGTGCTTTACACAATTGATCTATGTATTGTGATGAATTTTATGAGCCCCAATAAATTGATTTTTAAAAGAAAGAAAGAAAAAAGAAAGAGGGTCACAGCAGAGGAGCTGTAACAAAATGTGTGTGACCTGTTGAATGTGAACTAATGATCTGCTCTGAAACCTTCACCAAAGTCTCCACACTGAAGAGGTGGTTTGGCTAATGAAACACTGGTCTAATAATATAGACACGAGGAAAAACACATTTTAATATCTAGATGAAAAATTCACCATGACTATGAGTGCTTCAGGTGACTGATGCTATTTTTAGGTACATCATCACTCAGCTCCTTTAAATTTTCATGGACTCGTGTCTTCTGTTCTACTAAGGAGGCAGAAATAGAAGCATATATATTCGCTGAAATTGAAAGTTCCACCTATCGTTAATTTCCTCTTGCCTCCTCTACCTTACAGTTTACAAAGAAGTGTTTTTTATCTCTAAAATCTACTGTGGTAATAACTCTTGGTCTCTGAAGGCAAAGTTACTATTATATGAAATCAGACATTTGCCTTTATAACAATGAAAATAAAACCTCAATGCCGACTTGCCCAAGGACAAGAGGTGTGAATTCACGACACACCCACTGAAGACAGAGTATATTCACCATAATACTCTTTTGAAGTAACAAACAAGTTCTGTAGTATGAACTATAACAAGTCTCGACCAGGCCTGATGCCAGCTCCTGAAGGGGCTGTGGCTCCCTATGCCTGACCAGTTGCCTAACTGACAAGAACAGAAGAGGTGGGGTGGGGGGGTGGTGGAACGGGCCTTTCCATGCATTGTGAAACCAGTACATTCTGAACCAAACCTATTCAGAAACTCAGGGGGAAAATGGAAGCGAGGTTTCTAAAATTCTGAGACTGATTTGTTTTTGAACAAATATCTTTGTAGAACCCACTGCTCTGAGTCAGTTCCATCTCACAACAATCCTACAAGACAGAGCAGAACTGCCCCAAAGATCTAAGTCTTTCTGGGAGCAGACAGCCGCATCTTTGTCCCACGGACCAGCTGGGAGGTCTGAGCTGCTGCCCTGTTGGTTCACAGCCCAATGCTTCACCAAGGGGCCGCCGGGTTTCCTTTATACTATGTATATTACTTACTTATCAACACTTATGAAGCAAGTGTAGCCTGATTCATAATTAAAGGAAGTGCTAACTTCCAATTAAGAGATTAGAGAAAATAAAGATGGAACATGGTCCCCACTCAATTACAAACTCTCTGGCATGTGAATCTATGGACATCTCCAGGGAGAAGAAATCCTATTTGAACAATAGTAAAAGTCCTATGAGGCAGGTGATGTAATTATTCCATTTTATAGCTGAGGACTCGGAGGTATGGTGTAGTTAAATACTGTGCTCAGGCCAAATCCGAGATTTCAGCATGCATGCACCCACAACTTTGCCACGAATGGGCCCCTCACCTTGATGGGGGGTTTCCGAGTGATGTGGGAGACCAGGAAGTTCATGGCAATGTCCTCACAGTTGATGTATTCATCCACCATGTCTCGGATGGCCTGCGGCATCACGTAAGAATATAGATAGGCGTAATACTGTTCGGGGAAGAAAAGCACCACAATCTGTTAGAGGGCACAGTTCTGTAACTTTCAATAAAATAGGGTGTGATAATAATTACGATAATCACTAGCGTTTAAGGAGTTGGAACTGAGGGTGCTAACCCCTCGCCTTTGAGAGGAGAAAAAACTTCGAGCCTGTCGGCAGGAATACATATCAGAAGTTCAAAAATAGTCAATCAAATTGACACGAAGGAGCATCGGCAAAGTGGAGACCCAAAGCCCACTGATGAAACATGTAACTATCCGCTAGTTCTTTAAAATTTCCTCCTCCCACTGTTATGGCTTTAGTTTTAACTCATTAATCTTGCTAGATCTGTGTATGAACTTTGGTTTTGATACAAAAAATCCAAGAGAGATAAAGCCCTCAGAAACAGTAATGGGAGTAATGATTCCCTGAGGATACGGGAAAAGAGGGTGAGGAAAGGGGAAATTGATAGCAACGATGACTGTATAAACCCACTCGAGGGGAACAAACATCAGAATTTTAGGTGAATGGTGACATTGGAAGGTGTAAGTTATGGCAAAAAACTATATAATAATAATAACATAATATATTATGGGTTCAGGGGGGTGATAGGGTGGGGAAGGGAGAGGATAAAGGGGAGATGATATCAAGAAGAAAGAAAATGTATTGAAAATGATGGTGGCAGCAATTGTACAACTGGTTGATGTAATGGGACTATGGATTGTAATTATATATGCAAAAGATCCTAATAAAATGTTAAAAACAAAACAAAAAGCCTCACTTAGTCTCCATGGTATCTGAGCCATTTTGTAATGCGATCTGTCATTTTAGGTCGGACACTGGTTTGGTGGAGGAATGGAAATAAAGGACAGTGGGGGGACAGAAGGGCTGCTTCTGCTGTGGCCCCATAAAACATCTGTTCCCTCAGGCCCTTCCTTAAAGATTTTAGAATTTGCTCACTTACCATCTCCCTGGGCTACATACACCCTGCTCTAAGCCCACTCCTCTAGATTGTTAGCACGGTCTCTTCCCTGCTGATACGCCTTCTTCCCTGCAGCCTGAGTGGTCACGTTAGGACAAGGCCAAGTGAGTGTGTCCCTCTTTTACTCCAAATCTTCTGATGCCAAGTCCTTCGAATGCCTCACAAGCACCACCGAGTGGAGGCACTAGGGTCGACTCACACTGGCTAAGTTTGCTGATAGCTAAGTTTTCAGGGAGTTTATGAGAAGGCTGCTAAAATATACCATTATTATCATTACATAAGCTTAGAACTAAATAAGTTATACTAAGAAACAGAAAATAAGTACCTAAAACTCAGCACTTTCTAATTGCATTCTACTATTTGTATTCATAAGGTTATATATATGTACAAATATAAGCATAAAACTAAATGTGGAACTAAGTTCAAAAAAATAAAAGCAATTCTCATGAAAAAAAAAAAGTTCATATTCAAGGGGGTTTCAAAGAAGTTTGTAGAACTGTCCATTATCTTTTCATTCCATTTTCCCAGGAACTTTTTGGAACTACCGGGATGATGAAATATTATGTAATAGTGTGCTGCTGTGCATACTTCCAAATTCCATATTCAGTAACTCATATTACTAACCTGGAACCAGCCATTTAAAACATTAACACCACAGAACTGCCAAAGACCACAAAAGAGCAGCTACTAACTCTAATGTATTGAAATATGTGAGGTGACCGAATAAATTATTTTCTTAACTAGAAGAATCTTAAAAAAAAACTAGTGGAATCTATGCAGTAAAATAATGGATAACTAAAATCTATCTGTCACATAAACGTTTGACGTCACTCTGGCAGTGAAGTACTTAAGAACTGGGGGACTTGAACGAGAAACCAGACATTTTGGTTTTACTGAAAGACAGGTGTTCCAGGTTTGTTGAACCTTCCAGAAATGGCAACTGCTTGTCATCGTATGTTGATGAGCACAGAGAGCTGGGGAGGGGGAGGGAGACAATTCAAAAGATCTGTGGAAAATTTCATTTAAGTGTACTGGAATGTTCCCACGAAGTTGTTGACGTCCCCTTGTATATTTTAAAGTAAGCACAACCCATATTTACAGGGAAAGCACAACGATAAGGTCTGTGTTCCAAGAGAAATGATTAAAATCAAATGTCAAATATAAGTTCAACTGAAAAGCAGACCTTTGACTTGCCAAATCAGTGTTAAATCAAGATTTTTAAACAATGAAGCACATACAATCATGCTACTTTCACTAAGATTTACAAACTCAGTGAGAATGTTATGTTAATCTTGGTCTCATCTTTATCTCAACTTTGGAAAAACTTTCGTAAGTATATTTGTAGGCACACAAATATGTGTAAATAAATACACATATTTCTGATGTGTGCAATAGAAATTTTGCATTGATAGGTATGTGATGATTTAAAAATCAAGATCAGCAACTTAATTGCTTTCAAGGGCCCATCAATAAGTCAAATAAAGTAAGTGGCATTTTTAAGAAAATGGTGTAAGAAAAACAAGCTGTGACGGAGCAAAATAGAGCCCGTGTGATCCATCTACAGAGAGTGGAGCCTGCTCAGGACAAGCCCTCTGGGCCCTCCTCTTCACCTTGTTTCTGTTCGCCAGGTCTACATCCTTTGGGAATCTTTCGGTTTTCTATGAGTTGGCACTATATGGGGTAATATTGTGGGGATTAAACATACCTGTGAGGATATGAGGCTCAAATGCTATTAGACTACGCAACAGAAAAAAATACTAAGCTTTATTAAGTATTTATCATTTGAACGTAAAGAAATATGGCGATTATAACTTTTAAAGACCAATCAGAGGCTGTGACATGGCAAGTCTTTCAGAGGACCAGCAAATACATCAGGCTTAAGTGGAGGTGTCACTGCTACACGGTGAAAATGGCTCTTGACTCTGGCTAGACCAGAGGAGGTACACTGGTACAGATAGGAACTGAAAATACAGGGAATCCAGGACGGATGAGCCCTACAGGACCAGTGGTGTGA